CGCCGGGGACAGTGTGTCTGTTCGTTCGTCTGTCTGGTAATGGTGTGTTCACACTAGAGTGCGGATCGGGCCGCATTTTTCTGTCCGAGCCCGGCCCGCGTCCGACAGGGGAGTAACCGAACCCGACCCGAGCCCGACAGGCATTAAGATATTTATGTCCGAGCCCGACACAGTTAAAAATCTCATTTTTTTCTCATACTAATGACACGTACGTTTGTTTGTGTAGAAAGCCCGCTTTTATTTAGCAACTGGAAGGCATTCGGAAATGTTTACAGATGTGCGCAACGCATCAGCGTGCGCCGCACACGGCCAACAAAGCGCATGTTAACACAGGCGCGCACAAGAGGCCCAAACAAATAGCCAATTGAAATTAAATGAACAAAGCTAGGTCTACCAAAAATTGCCAAAGCTAACAGAACAAAACATTAACGTAACACAAATGCAGCTTATTGAAATGGAAATCACTCTTACCATTTGTCTCGAAAACTGTGTGGCTAATAAAACTGTAACATGGGATCTATTCACATAATCTATCCTTCAATGTGTAGGCTGGTTTTAAAATCTCCTGAGGCCAACTTCTTTTTAACGTCTTCCATCGTTGCGCTGCCAGCCACATGTAGCCAAATATGCAATATTATGCACGCACGTGTTGCGCATTGTCACAGCAACATAAACAAATTTCCGCACACATGAAGTTGGATGTTAGGGTGATATTCTTACTTGTTTTGATTATTTTAATTTCTTCTATGTAAAGCACTTTGAATTGCCATTGTGTATGAAATGTGCTATATAAATAAACTTGCCTTGCCTTGATATTTTTAATTTATTTTAATCACAAAAACAAACATTTGCATCCAGTTAAACATTATAATAAGCTGTTTTAAATTTCAAATGTTCAATGCCTTTTTGCGACGACGTGACCGAGCCCGACCCGAACCCGAACGTCATTTCAAAATATGTGTCCGAACCCGGCCCGGCCCGCCGTCGGGTCCCGTCGGGCTCGGTTCGGGTATCCATCTTCTAGTTCACAACGAACGCGAATAGAGCGTCAAATACGCGTCTATCGCGTCTAGTTAGACGCTTGAACATTCACTCGAGTTCAAATTTTTCAACTTGCGCGGAAGACATTCGCAGCAAACGCGTCGCCCAATTCGCGTCATTCGCAACGCCCAGCGCGAATGATGCGTCTATTCGCGTCTTTGCATTGACTTTGTATGTAATCTACTCGCGCAAATAATTAAATTCGCGTTCGGTGTGAACACACCATAAGAGTGAGCGCTCGTGAGCGGGCACGTGACTTACACACATAACCTGATTTATACGAGGTTGAACTGGCCGTGTGACAGAGCGGGCATAAGATGGACACGAGCGCGAGTTCGCGGGCGAATTTAATACCAATTGATCCATATATAAGGCACTCCGGATTATAAGGCGCACTGTCGTTTTTTTTTTGAAAATTAAACGCTTTTAAGTGCGCCTTATAGTGCGGAAAATACGGTATGCAAATATGCATGTATATTTACATCGTAAAACAATATTTTATTTCTACATTTTCTAAGTTGAAACAAAGATTATTGGAGTATGTTTTATAAGAAAATACTATTTCAGTCTTTCACATTTCATTTAATGTTACTTATTTCTTTCAAATTAAATCGGTGTAATTTTGTAGTGTGCAATATGAATAATCCATGCAATTATTAATAAATGACATGTTGTTTTTGCAATTCTGATTTGGTGATTTACCTTTAATTATCTGGTCAAATTTAGGCATAAATTGTGTAATTTTTGGGATGTTTAATGATCAGGATTGGTAGGGAAATCTGTTTGGAAACAGTCATTATGCATTTCCAAATGGATACACTAAACGGCACACTTCTCCTTGATTATGACTCTACAAAATGCATGATTTCCTCGTGAGCATGAAGTGATCGGACAACAGCTTTCCCTCCAATCAAAACTCAGAGATCTCATGATTCATACGAATACTTCATATTCATATTTCTCATCAAATGAGTCATGTTATCAACTAGACTCTTACTGGATGACTTTTAGGATACATATTTTAAAGTTGAGACTTAATCATAATCAAAAGAGTAACATTTGTGCAATAAAATTAGAGACCGCCTTTTTATTAGTCACTAATCGCTGTTAAGAAGTGAAACGAACAGTGATGTATTAAACACAGTTGTTCTCTCTCACCCTCGTGAGATCGTGGCTCTCGATCGACCGTTTCTGTGTGAATAAGGCCGTCGGCATTTGTTCAACTCGCATTGAACAAACGATCTTGACACCAGAACAAAAGCCGCTTTAGAGGAGAGCACACACACTGCGGACTCTGTTTTTCTCTCTCATATTTTTTAATGACAAAATGTTTGCCAGAAACAGGTGGATTTATTTTGGGCAATCCGGGGTATAGTGATGGAGCTTAGATGGTTCCGGGCCCCAGGGCTTCAGACGACTAACAAAACACATCTTACTTCTGCTTTGCTGCCCGTCTGTAATGCCTTTCAGCCGAGGGCATGACGGTCCCGAGAGCTTCCCTCCAAACTCGACACACACACAAGTTTCAGCTTGGGTATATATTCTATACAGCATATTTCAGTTAAATATACATTAAGATCAAGGAATATCTTGACACAGACAAGACAATATGAATCGGAAACTGGATAGTGTAGATTTAACTAAAATGTGAATCAGATTTTCCAGTATCTTGAGAAAAATACCTTATATTACCTTACATCGCTTCGATGCCAAAGTCAATCAAAAATAAATAGGTTTGTCAGCTTTTAAAAATGGAGGAGAAATCACTTTACTGTTTAAAATATATGTACAACAACTCAACAGCAACTTTTTTATAGTTATACGAGTTATATGAGATTCGATTCAATTTTTTTAGCCGGTTTTAATAAATTTAAGTTGAAATGACTTGATTATACTTTAAAATTTAAGGCAGAAATTAAACTTTAGTTTTTCAGTTGAAATAGGTGGAGATTCCCATATCTATTGTATTTCAAATATTATTTTAATGCTATTTTATTTTCATCTTGGCAATATGGCAAATACTAATATTATATGGTGGCTGTCATGACGTATTTATTTAAACATAATCAAATATTGAAAAACAGGTTAAGGAAAAATGCAACGAATATGCAATATAGTGCATATATTTAGCAAAATGTTCCTCTCTAGAGTTCAGTTTTTTTGACGTGACTTTGTTTACAAGCTATTTTATTAGCGTCTCCGCGGTTGAAACACTGATTGGCCGATTACATGAGACATGATACTGATTTCTGTAGGTTGTATCTTTCAACGTACCTTCTGATGTTCATTCATGTATGAAGAGATGAACGGTCACTTGAACTACAGCGATCTCTCACACCTCATTAAAGAGCATCAAAACTGTATTTATTGTGTTAAAATGGACAGAATATAAAAGCTGAGACTTTGTTTCATATCAGACGTAACCAAGCACAAAGCTTATAGCGATTTATTGGATCCGAGGCGCTCCAAAGCTTTGTTCATTCATCAGCTAAAAACAGCCTAGACTAAAAGATCAATTCTTGGAATTTAAGGATCGATAATGGTTCTTCAAAATCGATTCAAATGTTCAACCCAGCCCTATTATAATTTTTTTTTTTTAATATTTGATTATATAACACATATTGTGTGTATCATTTTTGTTTAATTTTTATAGACGATTACACAATTCTGAGAACCAGGCTTTCAGAAGATCTTTTTTCTTGCAATAACATCCCAAACGTTAGTCAACTTAGATCCCAAATTCATTTTATAATTCTCAAAGTCTATACATTTTTATTTTTCCCTAAGGAATTTTAGGAGAAACATGACTGAAACGCTATGAAAGAGCAAAATATCGACCGCAGTTCGAGACCGAATCAACCTAAACTCTCTTGTTTTTTCCCCCCTTTAATTCCTAAGATAACTCCACACATGCCACAATCAAGCGAACGGACCACAAGATATTATAAACATGTGTTTTCCTCAGAAACGCAAAGAAAGGCTGGATCAGCGAGCTCTCGCTTGATTTAACTATGATATCTAATGATGTATGTTTCCTCCTCATGCCCTATTAAGATTAAGAGTGACTGGAACTGCGCAATACGGGCATGATTTCCGGCCTTTGGGAGCGCGGCCTCAAATATGAGTCACAGTGAATATCCCTGCCTCGTTTTAGGCAACGCTCCCAAATGGGGTTCGAAGACATGGAAGTGGAAAGCAGTCGCTGACACGGCCAGGAAACAAGCATAAAAAGCCACCAATGCAATTCATCTTGTCATTTATAATGGGGAAATGGCGACGAGACTATTCTTTTCGGGCTTAATGTTCATTATGTTGAGAGGTGATGTGTGTTTAATGGTTTTCAGGCTTCTGAAATACAAGAAACTGGAGTTGGGATGCATACTGATGTCATGTGCACTTGAAAACACCAATGTTTGGGTCCATAAATGGGCCGTCTTTTCCTAAATGGACTAAAAACCAATTCATTTAGAAGCAATCAACCACAAAAGGGGGGAAAACAATCATATAACCGTGCATAGTTAGGGTTGGAAAAAGTAAAAGTGTTATTTTTTCCCGCCAATAAAATCCCAAATGTCAGTCAAATTGATATTTATTTTACTTTTAATTGCATCGTATCTGAATAGAAAAAAAATATCAGTGCAGCACTCTGTAACATATCCAGAAATATACTCGTTCCACATTTCATGAACTGAGGAAGGATCTTTGAATCGTAGACACTGCTTTAGCCAAGTTGGAAAAAGAAAAAGTGGCCCAAATGTCTATGGCATACCTACGGCTAGATTTCAGCACGGATGAACCGATGTTAACATGCATCAGCCGAGCACAAAAAAAAAAAAAATGACAGTGGTTTCGGAAGTCAACACATCATTAGCCATTAAACGTTTCTTTCGGAAAATACGGGGCCTTTACGTTTCATCTTTAGTCACGAGTTTCTACAAAGTTTCCATTACTCCACTTAGTACAAAATAACACATTTCTACCCGTTAGCACTTCGGTTCCTATAACATATAATATATAATAATTTATTTTCAGTGTTCAAACAGACAGATCCAGTGTGACTGGATAACTAACATACTCTACCAGGTTCCAGTTGGCATTTTAGGAGGCTTTTTATACATCCCTCGATTTGCACTGAGCTCCTTAAACACAACTCAAATGAGTTCCCTTGTGCCGACGTCTCATGCCGAATCCCTAGAAACGCTACAAATCCCAGAATGCACTGGTATCCTGCAGTCCTTGAGCGCGAGTCAGTGCATGTACTTCTGGGCTCGTACCTACTGATAGAGTTTAGTATTTTAACTCTCATGTTAAAGCAAATATACATTCTGCTGTGCAAAAAAAACTGGCTTCCTCCCGTTCCCGTTCATTTGCAGGTGAAAACCTCCGTCCTCTCGCTACAGGTGTTGCATTTCACAAAACAACACCACTGGAATTTACAGTTGCATTGCCACACCTTGGTGTACTGATGCGTGTTGTAGCCCCGCCCACAACACATGAGGTCACAACCATCCGTGTGTGGAGACGTCCGGTTGCACATTCGCCCCTGCGTCCCAACGCTGCCTGTTTTGGCGTCCTCTTCGCAATAGTTCGGCGAGCGCTCGATGTACACCAAGTCTGTTTCCAAGGGCTTCTGGTAACCGTGAGTCTTCTTCACCTTGAGGAACGTGGGCTGCCGTAGACGTGACGCGCGGACCGCCTCCACGTGCACCGCCTTGTTGTACTTGTCCTTCAGGACGTATCCGATCTCGCGAAACTTCGGTAACGTGGTCCAACAGGTTTTGGTGGTGCAGGAGCCCGAAACGCCGTGACATTTACATTCCTGCTTCATTCGCTCTTCCAGAACCTGCGGAAAATCACAACAGCACGAGTCTCGTGAGATTAGCATTTACAAACTGGTCAAACGCTAACATAAAAAGGACAAACAACAGCATTCTGGAGTCACATGATGCAAGAAAACAATGGGCTCAACAGCCGTCATGTCACCGTCTCGTTAACTATAGACCCGATATAGTCCGGCTATGAGGAACACACTCCTAGCGAAAATAACCTTGAATTTGGTTACATGTCGTTGTTGCCAAAATAACTTGCGAGATATTCCGTAATGTAAGCAAAGTAAACTGGTGTTTGGTTTCATTTCTTTATCTAATTGATGACTAGTGTATTCTTGGGCGATGGTTTAACATTTCACTGAAGTAGACGTCTGGGCTGTGTTTGGACGGCCATTAGACGTCTTTTAAACGCAACATTGCTTGCTGGTAAAATGCTAACATAAAAGGACAAACAACAGCATTCTGGAGTCACATGATGCAAGAAAAACAATGGTCTCTATCACACACTCAGCGTTATGCAGCGCCAGGCGCGACGCAAGTGTTTTCTGCTAGTTTCAGCCCGACGCAGTTTTCATTTTCACGTCCTGTTTCACATTTCTTTAAATAGCAAATGCATTTGCACCCATAGGCGTGCTGGTCTGAAAACGAGGTGTGTGTACAGGCGGATTGTTGGCGTGTTGCTATTTTGAGGAACTGAAACACACTGTGCCATTGACCAACTGAACCCTAGTCACTCTTTTGCATTTTTTAAATGTAAACAGTGTAAAAATGTCAGGCAAGAAGGGCTTAAATTCTCATTAGCTATACAGTTCATTCATCAGACTGGAAAAGGAAGGTCAAGTCGACCACACTGCATTGTGGGATATAGTATATCTCTCACGTGTTCCATGCATAAAGAAAATTCCCAAACGCTGCACATTCTGCATACTTCAGAAACAGTGTGCTACTCTGAACACTCTGGAGACAAAAACACGAACGGCTTTTTATGGTTGTTTGAGACACGCATGTACCCATACGATCTAATGTGCTACATTAATACTGCTCTCCGCCAGTTACCCATCAAACCTACTCTGTAATTCCCTCTACCTTCCTGCGCACCACATCTGTGAGCAGGAAAAATAAATATAAATCTCCTACAGCCAAACACGTTAGATGTGGATTACTGAGCTTTTTAATGAATTGCAGATCTTTTGCAGCGACCATCGGCAAACCAATAGCGGAAGAAATCCTCAAAGAAAGCTGTGTCTGCATGTACAGTATGTTGCAAAGAAAAGGAGACGTCTTATTTTTAGATTTACATTGGATATCAATACTGAAAGAGTTTTTCCAGACCCTTTTTCTCTGTCTGGCACACGACTCGTCACCAGAAGCAGTTATCATTTCCCTGGAAAACACATGTAAACTAATCGATCAATCCCACAAAACCATCCTGACCCACGCGAGGCCAGTGACGGTGAAAGCCGACTGGGATCTCTCGATTTCAACCGGGCAAGAACAAAAGAGGTCGGAGGGATTGTTCTGGCAAGACATTTATAAACATCTACATTCAAGTTTTGTCCTTCCTAACCTTTCCTTCTGACTTTATGAATGCTGCCAGTTTTCCATTTTAAATAAAAATTGGTTCCTAAATCGGCACTGATTGAAATATGCTAAAAAATGAACAGAATAAATATATTATTGCAATTTGATTTTACATTTTAAAAATCTACTTGTTCCAAAATCTAGTAAGCTGCCTACATAGACTGCATTTTAAGGCATATATATATATATAAATAAATGCATTGTTATTTATGTATACATTGTTTTTCTCATTTTAGATTATTTATATATTATTATATTTTGGTAGTTTTCTATTTCATTTTAATTGTATATATGTTATATAACAATAATAATTATTTTTAGTACTTTTAATTTCTATATATATAGAATATATATATATATATATATATATACACACACACATCATTTCAAATATGTAGATATAAATATAATGTATACTCGAGTAATTTCAGTAATTCAACTTAAAAGGTGAAACTAATATATTATATAGACTCATTACATGCAAAGTGAGATATTTCAAGCCTTTATTTGTTATAATTGTGATGATTATGGCTTACAGCTTATGAAACCCCCAAATTCAAAATTAGAATGCTGTAATCCATAATCATCAAAATTATAACAAATAAAGGCTTGAAATATCTCACTTTGCATGTAATGAGTCTATATAATATATTAGTTTCACCTTTTAAGTTGAATTACTGAAATAAATGAACTTTTGCACAATATTCAAATTTTTCGAGTTTCACCTGTATATAAATGTTAACTTACAAATAATATAAAAAAGGAAAAATATAATGTATATATATATATATATATATATTATATGTATATAGGCTAATAATATAAAATATAAACATGAAAATGATATCTTGTAATGTATTGTATATATTTTAAGCAAATAGCTCACTTGGTTTTGGAACCTTTAACGACGAGTAGAATTAATTCATTAATTCTACCAAGATTTTCAGCCATTATTTAACCAATTAACATATTGTTCCCTTGCAAAACCCGTACTACTATTGAAATCAGTTCCACGTGGCTTCGATGCATCAACGTTGATTCTGCAGAGAAATGCGTTCATGACTGATGTTGATTCAACGCACACCGAGCCAGCGCGTGCCCGCAGGCAAACGGCATTTCAAAATGAACGATGTGTTACTTCACAAGCCGTCCGAAGGCCCGCAGCGCTGTTTACATTTGCCTGGATACGCTTATATCCACAGCGCTAATGTGGACCAGTTCTGGCCCGGCTCGCTCCAACCACATACGCGTATGATAGCAATTGAAATTCCAGAGTGGCAACTTCCATCTTCCCCCATTCAGAGACCCATGGTACGTCCCGTCCCCCCCTTAACATATGATGCTATGGCTCCATGAATGCCATTGTGGGTCCTCTATAAAAGCCTGACTCAATGGAGCGAGGGTTGTGTTTTCAGTGCAGCAGAAAGACTCGCAATAATATCCTGTTACAGGCTTTAGACTTGATGATTCCACACAGCGGCCCACGATGGGATTGGACCGGCTCCAACTGGCAACCGGGCTCAATCCCGGCTCGCTCACACCATAAAGCCTTGTGTTATTAATTAGATCCATTTGTCACCGGAGTGCATGCGGTTCTGCTGTTTCAGTGCATGTTGTTTTGTGTTCTTGGATGACTAACAGCTATCAAACAAACAAACATGGCCAAAGCGGCGAGCAGCCAAACCGAGCTTGAACCGGCATCAAGGAGCGACCCGAGAAAGCACTCAGTAATTGGCTGAAGCGAAACGAGTTGCTGAAACTGTTCAAGCATTCGTCTGGCGAACGAATCCTCGGTTTGCCACCTGCGAAGGACGAACTACACCATCTAAACTGTATCGGAGGACCGTGAAGACGAATCACACCAATTGGCTAAAACGCTCTAAATGCATTTGTCTTTTCAACGGATAAGAACTTTTCCGAAAGAATTTGTTGTTTGTTTCTTTTAACTAAACGTCGGCCAGAAAGTGCTTCCAAGCTTCAGTGTTTTAAAGCCTCTGACATCTAAAACAGATTAAGCCGCTTTGTCTGGAAGATTTTCCCAAGTGTGCAGTCAAGCAAAATGGATAACTGTTTCTGCAAGACGACCAATGTTGGTAAATTGTCAAATTAAAACGCCCCAGAGAAATAACAAATGAACGCACAAGAACTTTTCCCCGAAGATTTCTTCAAGTTAACGTCGGCCTCTTTCGAGCCTTTAATGGTTTTAGAAAAGCTTCTGAAGTCTAAACGGATTAAAGGAGTAGTTCACTTTAAAATTAAATTTACCCCATGATTTACTCACCCTCGGGCCATCCTAGGTGTGCATGACATTCTTCTTTCAGACGAACACAATCAGAGTTATATTAATGAACACCCTGACGCTTCCGAGCTTTATAATGGCAGTGGATTGCAACCATCAGTTTGAAGCTCAAAAAAGTGCATCCATCCATTATATAAGAACGGCTCCGGCGGGTTAATAAAGGCCTTCTGAAGCAAAGCGGTGAGTTTGTGTGAGAAAAATATTCATATTTAAAACTTTATAAAGTAAAATAACGAACATACGGATTCGACGTAAGTCTAAAGCGCAACTTATGACTTCGGAAGTAGCGTAGTGCGTCGTGGCGTAAGTTGCACTTTAGACTTAAAGGGTTAGTTCACCCCAAAATGAAAACTCTGTCAGTAATTACTCTCCCTCATGTTGTTCAACCCCGTAAGACTTTCGTTCATCTTCGAGACACAAATGAAGATATTTTTTATTAAATCTGAGAGCTGGATCACTCCTCCATAGGCTTCTTAAGGGATCGAAACTGGCCGGCCCAGAAAAGTTATTAAAGACATCGTTAAAATAGTCCGAGTGACGACAGCGGCTCAATCTTAAGTTTATCAAGCGACGAGAATACTTTCTGTGCGCAAAAAACAAACAAAAATAACGACTTTATTCAACTATTCATTTCCTTCTCTGTTGGCCTCGAGATTTCACGTAGTGTAACTGCGCAGCGCTTCACTTCGATAATTGTGTATTTTGTACAATTTTTGTATGTATTCCTGCAAGAAGAAAAAAGTCCCTAAATGTCGATTTAAAATATGCCTCACCTTTCGCCCAGCTTCGTTGTTATGAAGGTTCATCAGCCGTCTGGCATTTTTTTTAATCTCCCGGGCGTCCACAAACTTCCGGGAAAACTCGATGCCGTATTTGATGTCCGCGGAGCATCCGCCCCATTTCCAGCCCTCCTCCTGGTTGTAGTATCCCTGTTTGTCCCTGTCGCAGCCGCAGTGGCTCATGTTGCCCTGACTGCACGCGGCCGTGACGGCGTGGGCGACCCCAGCGGCGGTGATGGCGTAGGTGAATGCTGCCTCCCTGCTGCCTGGGGGGAAGAGGGAACACACTGTGATATCTGCTCAACACCACTCAAACGCCAACGCGTGTGCATGCAAAAACTAGCTAAATTAGTATTTTGTGGTAGTAGAAAAGCTAGCATCACTTACTGTTGCTCATATGACGAGATTTAAGCAAACCCAAGAATCTGTCTATTAAACCATAATACCATTGCTGAGGAGAGGTTTGCAGTTACTTTACTAAGTGAATTGTGATGCAACAGCATAGCAGCACCCTAGCAACCAGCGAAAATACACTGGGCAACCACATAACGTGCTAAAAACTGATTAGAACACTTTAACAACTGCATAGCAACACCCTAGCAACCAGCCAGAACAGAACTCCAAGGCAATTACATATCTGTGCTAAAAACCGATATAAGAACACCTTAGCAACTGCATAGCAACATCCTAGCCACCAGATAGAACACCCTGGCAATTATATAACATTGTCCTCAACACTGATTAGAACACATTAGCAGCTGCATAGCAATACCATAGCAACCAGCCAGAACACCCAAGGAAATCAAATAACTAGTAAAAACGAATAAAAGAACACTTTAGCAACATCCTAGCAACCAGCCAGATCACACTGCCAATCAAATAGAATTGTGCTAAAAACCAATAAAAGAACACCTAAATAACGGCATAGCAGCATCCTAGCAACCAGCTAAAACACCCTGGCAATCACATAACGCTGTGCTAAAAACAATTAGAACACCTTAGCAACTGCATAGCAACACCCAAGCAACCAGCCAGAACACCCAGGCAATCACATAATTGTGCAAAAAAAAAAACTAAGCAACTGCATAGCAACACCCAAGCAACCAGCCAGAACACACTGGCAATCAAATAACATTGTACCAAGAAACAAATTAGAGCGCCTCAGTAACTGCATAGCAACAGTCCAGCAACCACATAAAATGATTCTAAAAAAATAATAGAACAAAGAAACAGCATAGCAACACCATAGCAACCACACAACACTGTGCTGAAAAACAATAACCACACCTTAGCAACTGCACAGTAACCAGCCAAAATACACTGGGCAACCACATAGCATTGTGCTAAAAACTGATTAGAACAGCTTAGCAATTGCATGGCAAAACCCTAGCAACCAGACAGAACACCTTGGCAATCACATAACATTGAACTAAAAATAAATTAAAATACTTTAGCAACTGCATAGCAATACCCTAGCAACCAGCCAGAACAGAAACACCCAGGCAATCACATAACTGTGCTAAAACCTATAAAAGAACACCTTAGCAACTACATAGCAACATCCTAGCAACCAGCTAAAACACCCTGGCAAACATTGTACTAAAAACAAATGAGAACACCTAAGCAACTGCATAGCAACATCCTAGCAACCCGCCAGAACACCCTGGCAATCACATAACATTGAACTAAAAACAAATTAGAACACCTTAACAACAGCATAGCAACCACCTATCAATGTTCTAAAAAAATAAAATAAACGCAGAAGAAACAGCATAGCAACATTGTGCCAACAACCTAGAAAAATATATTGTGCTAAAAAAACAATTAGAACACCTTAGCATCTGCATGGCAACACCCTAGCAACCAGCCAGAACACCTAATATAATGGCAGCAACCTTTGCATGTGCAAACACCACTCGTGTTCTTAAAAAAAAAAAAAAAAAAAAAAAAAAAAAATGTATCTTCACTGTAAGAAACTAGTATTTATATGAGCAACAAAATCAGTTGATTTGATCAGATAATCAATATCTTAAACAAAAAACATGATTAGGGATCTTTACATAATGACTAAAAATGAGAATGGACTATAGTGTATGGAATATTACGGAAGCGTATTTCATTCACTTGAGGAAAAAAAATCTACTCTGTTTTTCTGAATTAACGAGTTAATTATCTCAGAATTACGATATACATTTTTCTTGAAAAACATTTTTTTCACTCTGTTTTTATAAATTAACGAGTTACTCAAAATTTTGAGATAATTACAACATGACATCATGACTTTGCGTAAACATACACGCCACTTTCAATTCAAGTGGCGTGTTATCTATACGCATTTTGATCTATCCGCGTGTATGTCCACGCCGAAATCTTTTGCGTGTATGTCTACGCCATTAAACGTCCGAGTGATTCCGCGTGTATGTGTACGCCGTTAAATGTCCGAGCGAAACGAAGCAAAATCTATATCTACATCTGTGGAGCGATATTTCATTTCCTAGGATGGTAGGAGAAGACTCATAAATGGTATTAACCCCAGTGACGGGTAGGTTTAGGGACGGGGTTGGGGTAGGTCATATATTTATATATACATAATACAGTAATATAACGTTAAGTCAAAGGCGTTGATAAACACGCTGAAAAGCGATTATGCGTGTTGATAGCACGCCAAAAATGGAAATACGAATTGGCGTGTCATACATACGCCATTTCATGAGATCAGTCTGATAATTAAGTCATTAATTCATAAAAACAGAGCAAAAACTTTTTTCCATGAAAAAATATCTCGTAATTCTGAGATAATTAACTCGTTAATTCAGAAAAACAGAGTAGATTTTTTTTCCTCAAGTGAATGCAATACGCCTCCGTAGAATATAAAAACATTTTATTTTAGAATTTTTAAGTAATTCCAAAAGAGAATTCACTGTTGCTTGCGCAGATGAAAGATATTAGTGTTCCTGTACACCTTTGGCCAAGCGACTGCAGCTGTTGAGCTGGAGGATTCTCAGAGTGTGAGGAAGCAAAGCCAAGGTGCTGTCCAAAGTGCTGAATTCTCCTGCCAGAGCACCTTACAAACCCACCACAAGAAACACACACACACATCTGGAGCGTTATTTAACATGACGCCTGGAGGACATTTACAGTATCAGCTGAACAATCTGGGGAAATGAATTCACTGATGAAAGCAAACGTTGGCCATCTCAGAAGAGCCAAACACTGGTGACTAATGGTCACAGCAATTGGAGGTGAAATGTTAAAAGTGGCATGAAAATAAATGTTCAAATGAAAAAAAAAAGAGGTTTCTAAAATATCTTTTGGAGTGTAATTTTGGACTAGATTCACGCTTCAAAGTTTGTTTGTGCAAAATGTCACATGTAGACCATAATAGCCAATCTCTTCTTCCAATTAAATACAACCAATCGAAACTCAAAAACTGTTTGCCGAACTCACATTTAAAGAACATATGTCAAATTAGAAACTACATCTGACATGAACTGTCCTGAAAATGTGGTTTATTGTGCTCAAATAGCATTCAAAAAGCTTGTTTCAGCAGCTGCGGTGATGCAATGACTTCACCAATCACTGATTGGCTCTTTTATTTAGAAGGCGGGGCTTATTCAGTCGTTGCTCTGCACTTTCACCCATTCATATATTATAAGTAATATATGAATGTAGCATCTTTGTATATCTATAATCTTTGCTATAAACCAGACAACTTGTGATGACAGAAACTTGCACTCCTCACACATACACACACACACACACACTGGCATGTTCAAGTCTCTGACTCAAACACACATATACACACAGTACCAGTGTTTTGGCAAAAGCAGAACAAAAAGTTCAGTGCCAGGAAGAAAAGTGGCTACCATGGGCCAGCATTTGGATGCATGCAGCACACACACACACACACACACAGACACACGCACGCACACACACACACACACACACACACACTTACTCACTCACAAACTCAATGACACAGACACACACTCCACTCACACTCAAACACACACACACACACACCACCCACACACTCAATAAGACACACAAACTCCACTCACACACTCAAACACACACACACACACACACACAAACTCACTCTCACACACACACACACACACTCACTCACACACACAGACACACACGCACGCACGTACACACGCACGCACACACACTTACTCACTCACTCACTCACTCACAAACTCACTGACACACACACACACACTCCACTCACACTCAAACACACACACACACACTCAATAAGACACACACAAACTCCACTCACACTCAAACACACACACACACACAAACTCACTCTCACACACTCACTCACTTACAAACTCAATAAGACACACATACACACACACTCACTCACTCACTCACACACACACACACACACACACACTCACTCACTCAAAAACTCAATAAGACACACACACACACCACTCACACTCAAACACACACACACAAACACACACTCAATAAGACACACACACAAACTACACTCACACTCAAAACACACACACACTCACACATACAGTTTAAAATTAGTTCAACCAATCACTGCACTATATTATATATACACTCAAACATACAGTGTGTATAGGACTCACAAACGATCTCACAAACAAAACTTCCCAATTTAATTTCCTGATTTCTCCTGCAATATAGTCTCGCTCTTCCTCACAATCTTTCCCATCCCTCGTGCAGGCGGTTCCCAAACAGGCTACTGTCCACACCGGGTTCATACACACACACACGCCACAGTGAATAAAGCCCATCTGAGGAGGCCAGAACTCGACTCCAGTGAGGAGCACCCTGGGAAAACCTCGGATCCTGCCAGTGGAAAACTGGACTGACCAGAAAACCCTCAGAGAAGTTGGAAGGGAGGAACAGAGGAATATTAAAACACATGTCTAATAGAGTTTAGTGGCAAGTGTCTGCGACAGAATCCAAGATCGCTGTGTCTCTTTACCCTCGTTTCACGTGTTCATCCGCTGACCTTACGTGGAGAAGAGTGTGTTCGTCACGCCGACTGACCGCTTTGGCTCAGAACACGAGAGCAAACCACTAAACAAATCACGTTTGACACGGCTGAGGAGATTTACAACCTCAGAGCGAACAAACAAACGATCCCACTGAACCCGAGCAGAAGCTGAGGAGACTCATGAGGAGATGAACCTGACCATCATCTGAGGACAGCGAGAGCATCGACACACACACACACCCGAGCAGAAGCTGATGCTCCACTCATGAGGAGATGAAC